AAGGTTATAGCGACTTGTTCTGGGGTGATTCCAAGTGGTAAACGTAGTAGATTTTGTCAAAGCGCACAGGATGAGCATTGGAGCTTATTGTAAATTCTCTTTTTAAAAATGAAAACTACATTGGTAAGAGAAAGGTCAGGGAATATGCACCAAGGACATTTTTCCCATCACAACAATGCACCTACCTGTTCGTTGTTTGCGGGTACGAAGGGCTGTCCCTTGGTACCCTCATTTCTATGGGAAACCATATCTATCCACTCTACATCCTTCATCCTGCCTCTTCTGACTTCTTTTGGTTCATCAAACCTCAAGAGCGTTTCAAAGGTACTAGATTTGATTCCTTTCAGATGCCAAAACTGGCGCCGTGATGTGGTATAAATCAGAGTATGGAACGCCTTAGGGAAGGAGTAGAGAGATGGAAAGACGGCCTTCAGAAGGGTCTAGACCAAGATGGAGAACATGTCAAGAAATAACAGCTTCGCATTTTGATTTCTTGTTTGTTTGTTTGTTTGATAGAGGTTCCTCTGATTTTGTCACGAAGCTTCTCTTTCAGTAGCACAGGTCTCTCTCGTTCATTTTTTATTAATTCATCACTTTATTGGGAGCTCTTACAGGTGTCATAACATTCTGCCGTTCAAATAGTTCAAGCATAATTGTCCAATTGCTACTACAATCAGTTTCAAAACATTTTCTTTCTTCTTGAACTCTTTGATATCAGCTTCCCTTTATTCCCTCTTTCAGCCTTCCTTCCCCCAGTAATCCTTGTTATTGTTATATATTATTAATTATTATATGTATATTTTTTCACCTACAATTCTATTTTTCACTCCCCTTGAGTGGAGTTCTACAGCCTTCATTGCTGTCAGCTCCTCCTTCTTCTCTTCCCCCCCACCCCTCCAACGGTCTTCCCATATCCTCAGGGAATCACTATGTCTGTAGGGTCATCCATCCTGGCACTCCTGCATCGAACTGTCTTACTTGTACTACACCTGAACATACATTGGTCTAGCAGTACTAATGGGGTGAAACATAAGCCTTAACAGTAAGGGGAGGAAATAATAAAGAACCAGAGGATAGTTATGAGTTTCATCAGGACTTTGCCATAGCCTGACTTCCTCACCCCACCCCCACCCCCACCCGCCCCTCTGCAAGGACCTGTACAGTTGTCTTCCAGGTGGGCGTTGGGTCTCCACTTTGTCCACAGTCCTTCATATCCGCTTGATTGCTCGTTTTTGAACTTCTGAGACCTATACTCGTCGACCCCTCATAATCACACAGGCTGGTGTGCTTCTTCCATGTGGGTTTTGTTGCTTCCCTGCTCAATGGCCACTTGGTTGACTACAAGCCTTTAAGACCCCAGACACTTTTTTTTTTAATCGCTGAGCACCATCATCTTTCTTCACCACATTTGTCACAGTACTTTTCAAATTTCCCTCATAAGGGAGAGTAGTTATATTTAAAAAGTAAAATTTAGCTTTTATTATTTATTATTATTATTAGGTAAGTTTGAGTATGACATTTGCATCTATTTCAATTTAGTAACTTTCATTGAGTACCTGCAATGTAACAGGCACTGTATTAGGTCCTGGGGATAAGTCCAGGTTTTAGGAAGGGACAAACCAGAGACTGAGTCATTTGCACTACCCAAGGACCTCAGATGAAAAAGTAAATGTGGTTTTGTTGTGTTTTTTAATAGTTTTATTTGCACAATCATCACCATAATCAGTTCTGGAATATTTTCTTCCTTCTTGTACTCATTGTTATTAGCTCCCCATACCCTTTCAACCTCCCCTCCTATCCCTCGATTAGTCCATTAATCCAATTACTGTCTCTAGAGATTTACCTATCCTGGCTTTCAGGGATAGGTAATCCATAGATTGTCACAACAATTTTGAAGAGTTAAACCTTCTCTCAGGGTTCTGTCAAGGTGGTGAATCCAGTAGGAAGGCAAACTGCCCCAGAGCGAGCAACATGATCACTGCTATATCTGTCTAATCACCAGGGCCCCACGTGTAGTGCCAGACTGAAAGAAAGCCTCTCCTACAAAGAATCGTGTAATTGTTTCCATTGTTACTGGGAGGCCAAGATTGAACTGCACAAGGAGATTGCATCTCTTGGTTAAAGAAAGGCAGACTCTTTTTTCCTCAGGATCTTTTCTCCCACTTATCTGTGGTATTTCAGTGATTGACAAACCAACAAAAATATATTTATTTAGGGATTATCTATATTGAAAACTAGGCATGGGATTTTTTTTCTGTCAACATGACAGTAATATCAGCTGTTTGAACAAAAGGAGAGGTATTTTTCCATTCAATCCTGAATGCTGAAAATTCTCCAGTTTACATTCAGGAAGACATTTGGTTTTATTGATCCTGCCAGCTGAATAAGTTTAAACTCCTATAACCAGGCAAGGAGAAGGTTGATTTTCTCTTTATTGTAAAGGTTATTAAGAGGAAAGCAGATTTAGAAGTTATTTGTCTTTAGACAATCCTATAGAATAAAAAAAATTTTCTGTCAAATCGATGCTGGCTCATAGTGACCCTACGGAAGCAAAACTGCTCAAGTATATTCCAGAAGTTTTGTTCAAAGCCAATGCTTTGCCAGTCTAAAAGTACAATGCTCTTTTGTGAATACTAATTTTATTGTGCAAGAACATGCTTTGTTGCAGATGAAAGTAATGTCCAGTTCTATAAATGTGCCTGCTACGATTGATAATGTGTTAAACTCCACATAGAGCTGAAACATTATACATACTACTTAGATTGTCTGTAACTCCATGTTCTTGCCAGAAATGGTGATTCAAAATTGTAGCGTGCAGTCTACTGCCGCCACCACCTGCTGTTGCTGTACTTTCATCGATGCTTATAAATACACAAAAGTTTATACCTGAATAGTAAATAAAATACACACTTACCAATGAAGACCAAGAACTTCTATAATGAAATAGATTAGGCATCTTTCTTTTTCTTTCTTTCGCATACATACCTTTTCAGCTTATTCAGATGTAAGAATGAAGCATCTAAAATACTAAGTGAAGGAGGCTTTCTTGAATTTCTCTGCACTCTCTTGGTCTGTGCTTGGTCCTGACTGCCAACATAGTCCCATGTCAGACTTTAAAGAGAAAGAGCCAAATCGCTCAGTCAATTCTCGACACTGGAATTGCTTTTCTCTTCTGGGAAAGACTCAGAAACTGAAGTGCTTCTAACACGTCTGTGAGGAACAAGAAAGCCTCCAGAAGGCGGTGAGTTGGCATGTCAAGAGGTAATGTATTGGACAGACAGAAGGCCTCAGCATGGAGAGGCCTCGGATGGTGCCAACAGTTAAGCACTTCACTACCAGCCAAAAGGTGGCTGATGCAAACCCACCCAGAGACACCTGAAAAGAAAGCTCTGGGGATCCTCTGCCAAAGGTTGCCATCCTAAAATACCTGTGCACACACGGGGTCTCTGTGCTTCAGAGTAGATTCTGACTCATAAACAGCCACCTGTACTAGCCTGGGTCGAAGGCCTGACACTTGGCAGGCACTCACTCACCAAGGCAGAAACACTGCCATAAGCGCTTGCGTTGCTTTCAGGACTGTTCTCCTGGAAAACTTCAGGGTGTTGATGTTCTGGGGAAGCCACATCCATCCATCCAAGGACAGCCACTTCACTGCCTTCTGAGAGAAAGTATCCGACTCCTAGAAATGACCACCATATTTTTTCAAAACGAAGTTATGCAAATCTGATCGACTAAAGTAAATGTTTCATAAAACCAATGACGGTTTAAATTGTGGGACTAAACTGTTTGTATATAAATATTACCTTTTATATTCCATTTGAGTTTTATGTAGATGAACACATTACTTTAATGACCTGCATTTACAGAGGGAGAGTGGGAGAGCTGCTCCCTGCAATCCTCGCCAGCCAGATGGCTGCCTTTTCTTGCATGAGATTAAAAGATGTTTCTCATTCACTGCGATGCTTCTGAGGCAAATTAATATCGCCAGCTAAATTGCTTGTGTTTTCGGAATAAAATTTAAAGAGAGATTTTTAAAGCACTTGGTGTCCCAGGTTCTGCGAGCAGATTGCTCTCCAGGTAGAGCAAGCTGGGTTTAAGCATTCGGTAATTAATGGAAAGAATTCTGTGTTAATTGACTGCTTCGGGAAAGGGAAATATAATGACTCCTTATTAATCACGGAAAGAGGTGTACAGCATGGAAGCACCACAATAATTGCCCGAACAGTGGAGAAATGTTAATTAATGAAAAGAACAATGATGTAAGAAATTAGCTACATAACGCTGGCTACCAATGGAGGTTGGGCTCTAGAAGGGAAACCGCAGAGTATTGCCTTAAATAACAGATACTTACAATTTTTCTTATCACCCCAATAATTTAGGGAAAGAGATATTAAAATTACTGCTGCCAATGTGACTTAGAGAAGCCACCACATTCACCCAGAACTGCATTTATTCACGCCGTTTCGCTTCAACCCATAGGTCCATCTGACTGCTAAGGACAAAGGGAGTAGAAGAGAGCGTTCCTCTCTCACCTGTTTGTTATTTACTGGCAACAATTCAGATGCACTTTGAGGACAGAATGTCTTTTTGTTTGTTTGTTTGTTTGTTTGTAAAGCTAGTCTTTAAGTACTTGAGAAGAGAGAGAGCTTCCGTGCAGTCCACCAATCATCAGAAGGCCAGTGTATTAAACTGTAGGGCCGCTCTCAGAATCAACCCAACAGCAGGGAGAGGGATGGAGTCATTCCTAGCCACAAGGCCAGACGGCCTATTGTGATCCCTCCGCTGTGTCTCCAGAGCTCCCAGGCGAGACCTTTCCATCAGCACTATAGGAAGGGTGACAGCACAGAAATCAGGGGACGCAAGGGCGGGGACAACACCCATATTTAGCAAAGCAAGCCAAGGGATAGCATGCCCTGAGTGGATGTGGGTGGCTTGCTGTTTGTTCCCTGTGGGTCCTCCTGTGCAAATCGCTACTGACTCTTGCTTTCCTTTCATTTCAGATGGAATGTTCTGGGGCTGCAGGGCGCTCTCCTCTGCCATTTCATTGAGCCTGTGTACCTCCACAGCATCGTCGTGGGAAGCCTGCGCCACACGGGCCACCTGGCCCGCGTGATGAGCCACAGGACTGAAGACATTGGCCAGCTGCCAACTTCCTACCATCACAACCAGCCTCTCCTCAGTGGTAAGAAAACACCGTGTACATATATGTACATTATATATCGGACTATTAGAATAGGTAACATTTTTAAGTGAATATGTACTAGGACTTAGAACACCAATGCATCCTTGTGTCATCTTACTATAGTGTCTACAAGGCACTGGTAAAAATAAAGACTAAGAAGAATGTGCCCACCTGATAGGACAACCATACACACTCCCTGGCCCTGCTCTCTAGTTAAAGAAAAAAAAAAATCCTGATAAAGATCCACATGCATGAGATTCACTTAAAAGTAAAATGGATGCTTGCACATCAGTGTTCATTACAGTTTCAAACACAGTAGGTAGGAGGTGGGGATGAACGATCTAAGTGCCCATAAACAGACGAATGGCTTCACACAATGTGGTTTATACCTACAGCAGAATATTGTGCAGTCATGAAGAGAAAGTCTGGCATATGCTGTAGACTCTATCGGGGGATCTTGAGAACATTGTGCTAAGTGAAATAAGTCAGACGTCAGCGGACAGATATTGTGCAGTTCCACTTAGATGAACTGTGTAGAATAAGCAAAGGCAAAGAAAAAAGTTTATAAGTGATTATTAGACATCTTTATGTTTACCAGCTCCTTTAGACATGACAGTTACAAGGACACAACGATGTACTGGTGTAGCAGGGGCTAGGAGTAGGAGGAATTAAGGACGTCTGCTTAAAGGGTGCTGAGGTTCTTGTGGGGCTGGTGAACAACCTCTGGAAATCACTGGTGATGGTTGCAGGGCATTGCAAAGGCAATGAATCGCACTGAGTAAGATCCTTAAAAATGGTTAAAATTGCAAAGTTTATGTCATGAGCATATGTATTTCCAAAGAGCTTAAGAAAAAATTAGAATTAGCAAACTGGACTTTTTCCAACTTTTCAAAGCCCCCTTGTACACATAAGCCATTTTTTAAAGAAGTTTTATTGTGGTGATGTGGGATGTGTTTTACCACAAGGAAGGGATCAGAGAGGGATCCCTCTGCTCCTGCGCAGGCCCTGCCAGAGTGCAGGTTTTGAAAGCACATTTCCGAAACAGCAAAGTCATACAGCCAGCACTGTGGACACGTCCAGAATTCTCTTAATCTCACCACTCCACCACGTTACTGTTCTGAGCCTCAGCATCCCTATGTGAAACGGGGCTGACTGCCGCTCCACCACCTAGACCTGCCCCGCAGCCCGGTGGCAAGGATCAACCAAGCAACGTGGATATGAAAACAAGAGCAGCTGTCAAGCTCTGTAGATACTCTCAGGTGGAAAAGAAAAAAGTCAGCCGTAGATTCTTGGAAGATGTCACTTATGTACTCTGGTCCTTGGCATGTCATAGTAAGTAACCTTTGAAGGAACTGATTAAAAGCCAAGGGTTGGAACATTTCTTTCTAATAACATCCTGTAAACGTCCTACTGGGGGCCTGGAAGAAGGCGTTGGACCGGTGAGTTACCTCCCTTTCTTAAGCGGGAGATCTCAGTGCCACCTTTGCCTGCAGAAGTCAGATAGGCAGCTGAAAAAGTAGGAAAACCACCCTCCGCCTTGGGGAGAAGGGAGGCACACTGACAGGTGAGTGATGGGAATCAAGAACAAGGCGTAGGTTTGACCCTTTGTTGACTGCTTTAGCTTAGCTGACATCAGGCACTGCCT